AAAGCCTGCGATTCTTTCACAACCCTGTATAAAAAATATTTTCTGATAGGAAAAACAATATTAGATAATACAATCTAGTTGTTGAAGAAACGATAAAGCACTGACGGCAAATGTATGATCTTCGTTGACCTTTTATAATGTACTTTACCGGAAAGTCTGTGTGTTGTACTCATAACTAAAATAACCATAAAAAATAGTCTAAAAGTGAACGAAATATAAATAATTAATTTAATACTTTTAAAATCTACTATTTTACAAGACATGAACCTAGAAAAAAATAAATGGTGGTGAAAATGTTCCTCTTAAATGTAATTTTAACGAAAAACTATGGATGTCTTTATTTGTATACCCGTCGAAACTTTATCTTTCAGAAGTGACAAGGTTATAAACTAGCGATATTGTTAGCAATACTTCTAGCAATTATATCAACAATCAGTTGAAATGCCGACAATTTGATAATCACTTTGAACTTGGAAAAGGAACCTTACTCAGCTGAATTGATACACGTTATAAATCAAGGTTCATTTATTGGTATTCTCGGTAAAGAAAAAGTATTACGTATAAAACTGTTGTTTTTTTGGGGTTTTTTTTGCAATTAGAAAATAATTGTTTTCTCTTATGGTTTCCTTATCGTTTAAATGGCTATCAATTTATAGGGTAATGATAAGCCATCGATGTTTGCTCGTGACTCTATTTTCCATGATTTATCAACACAGAAACAAAATGTTGCAAACAAAAGTTTATTTTATAATTTGAACCACTGTTATTTTTTTTAATAAAATATTTGATAAATTGTTCATTGAAGATATACGAAAATACTTTTTCATCTTCGTTCTTTATAAAATTATTTAGTATTTATAATTGTTATAAGATTAAAATGACATTAAAAACTAAACATGTAATATTTGTTTTCAATTTTATGATAAACGTCACAGGAAAAAAGTTACCCCATTTATTAAAAGAGTTAGCAGTCTTTCATATATTTTCCCATCAGTTACTATTAGTACAATTACCTATCTATCTATTTCACAAAATTATTAATTCTGTCGTTTCATATACGTAATCAAACCCACTCTTTAAAGGAGCTAGTTGCTTATTGTTGGCAATCGGAATTATTTTGTCTAAACAATGAAACAATTTTATTACATGCTTTTCGGTGGTTTATAGAAATATATCAGTGATATAAAACTGGTAATTTCACTGTTTGAAACAGTGAAATTACCACTTTGATAATTTAACTGTTTTGAATTTAAGCCCATTACGTTGTTTCAGTGAAATACCAGCGTGCACAGTACTGGGTACCAACATAATGACATGACGTCGTAAATGACGTCACGTTGTATTATTATTTGGCGCGCTTTTCATTCAGTATTAGGTTTAATTTCTTTGCATATAATAAAAAGAAAATTTGCTTAATTTAGTGTTAGATCGAAATATATTTCACCTTGTGAACACCAAAAGTTCATATTTCACTCGTGGCTGCACCACTCGTGAAATATACCTTTTGGTGCTCACTCGGTGAAATATATTCCGATCTTACACTGAACTAAACAAATATCCTCTATATAAATATAAAAAGAAATAAAAATGAGGCAGAGATAAACAAAGCAAAAGGTTATGCCCCGACACACTTCAGCTACAACAGCAGGACACCCAGAAGGAACAGAACAAGAACCGGGAGATGATATAAAGGCGGCGAAAGGAGGGGAGGGGCATGTAATAAGTGAAATGATAAGAACTGAAAGGGACGGATATGGGAATAAAAGGGACAAGTCATTAACCTAAACGATAGGAATGGCGCCATAAGAGTTGTGTTGTATTTTCTGGTTCTCAGTGCTGTGTTTAACTTTGCATTGAAAGACCAATACTGTAATGATATAACTTAGAGTACATTGCAATTTTATTGTACGGAAAATGACGTACATGAAATTGTGTTGAAAATGACTGACGATTGTATTATAAAAGCGTATGATGGATATTCACCATGGTTTCAAAATGTTATATAAATCATCACAACATGATACTTTCTCTCTTTTTCTAACATGCTTACACACAATCATGACCTAAAAATTATACAAATACCTTACTTCGTAACAGTTTATGGAATTATCTCGTCAATTGTCGCTCTTAACTACTCATGACCAATTATTACATACTTAGACGAAGTGACGTTTTATAAAAATGTTTATCAAAAGACCTATATCAGAATAAAAATCGTGCAATTACGCATAGACAATTAACAGGACTCGTAATCTGTGTTTACAACCAAATTATTATACAAGTACAATGCATGTCCCAAAAACTCGTGACAAATTTTACAGACAGTTCAGTTTTAACGTCAGTAGATATCAATTTACTTTTATCTTCAAATATATGATTTAAAGTTTCATATAGGCATTAAATTAAATATTGGTTTATACAAATTTATTTTAGTTCGATTGTGTTGGAAGCTATAAGCTTATTGAAACACTCTCGAATATTGACTCTAATTACTTTAAAGTTCTATATTGTACAGACATTATTCCTCTGACGTTATACACAAACTAATAGTGTAATAAAATTGAAGCATTTGGTACACATACTATCACTATTTGATTTAAAGAATGACATTGCAAGGAGCATGTGGCATATGTTATCTAATCAAACAATCTTTATGAAGAACATCATTTAAATCAAATTGAAATAGACAGTATTGATAACTATAATTAAACCTGTGGAATAGAATGATGCATCAACACGGTGATGTATTATAATGAATTTCATATGAACCTTATTTACTGGTAGCCTGCTGATGGCGACTGATTTTACATTTGCGAAAAGTGCTGACCACGAAAATATATTAGGGTCAGCACTGGTTGTTGTTCAGTCAGTACATAGTTTTCATATTTCCGTAATAAAAATGAAGAATGATATTTTGTCCATGGCAAGATATAATAAAATATTATGAGTAAGTAAGTGAGTAAAGTTTATTCTTGTAACATAGGCCTCCGGTCCAAAATACAACATAATACAACAAACATAACATAAAAATGGAAAATACAATAATAGAATAAAATATTATGCGATCAAATAAAGGGCTGAAATAAATGGCAAATGATAATTTTTCTGGAGCCAATTCTCGGTTTTATTGAAAATGTCAATCAATGCACTTAGTTATTTGTTTTAACTAAACATGTCAATCAATAAGAGACGATCCGTATATAAGTTTAATTTACATATAAGCTGAAATGTTGTTGTATGTACATGTATGTACATGTATGTACAAGTTCCAATGATTCTTTACAATTTTTTTTATTAAGTAAATGGTCAAGTTTTATGTATATTTACATAAATGTATATCCAAACAGGTCTGAAACTGAAATTCTTACCACCACCGTTTATCGAAAAACAAGACAGACGAGAAAATTCCCACATAAACTGATATTGAAAAAATGACGATTTCTTTTCTATTGACTGAAGAAATATCCGTTTATTAAATGCCCATTATTCCATCAGTATGCTTTTATATCTAAAAGTGTATTTCTCAAAAGAGTTTTATTTTTGATGTCCTATTACTGTTTATTGATTCTGTTTTTATATTTTGTATTGAATTCAAAAAAATATTTTTGTCACATTTTGCTTCTTTAATGACAATTATTTTAACATTCAACACTATTTTCTCCAAGTAATAAACTTCTTACATGCTCTAAAATCATTATTTTAACGTTATCAAACTGTTGTTGTCCCTTTCTAAAGAAGATTTTTTATCCGTTTTAAGGCATAATGTGCCTTTCAGAGGTTAAATGTACAAGTTTGTAGGCATTTAAAAATAAACGAATACAAACATTTAGCAATATTAAGGCTAACTTATTTGAATTAAAAAAAATATTTGAATAACAAACCTTTTTTTAATACTGCGTAGTTCAACACTTTTGTATGGTGGCATATTTCTGCCACCAGATAACCTGATACCTAACTAGTTAATTTAGAGGTTAACTAGTTACGTAACTAGTTAACCTGATAACTAACTAATTAATTAAGAGGTTAACTAGTTACGTAACAAGTTAACCTGATACCTAACAAGTTAATTAAGAGGTTAACTAGTTACGTAACTAGTTAACCTGATACCTAACAAGTTAATTAAGAGGTTAACTAGTTACGTAACTAGTTAACCTCTTAATTAACTAGTTAGTTTTATGGTTATCTGGTGGCAGAATTATGCCACCATACTTTTGACCTGGCTAGAGCTTGTACGAACACAAATGTGCTAAAGTATGTTTCTACTGAACATAAATAAGCCTTTGTAAGATAAAGTTAATGATTTAGTTACCAACCATATATCTACTTAAACAATAGGGATCTGAAGTTGCAAATTTAACAATATGTCCAAATATACATAGTATTTGTTTTGTTACAGACGAATTGAATTGCATTTATTGGTATCACATTAAAAGTTTCTTTTAACAAAAAGCAAATTATGGACATGAATGCAAAATTTAGGTAGGGACAGAAACTACTAGTTATTTTATGTAGTTGGCCTTATATTTATTCCATATCTTATACATTAATATTTATATTTGTGCAACTTAATTTGATTTATTCACCAACGTGTACGTTGATGCCTAAATCAGAAACACTGGCTATTATTCGTTATACTCTGTTTGATTGGCTTTTTTATTTTATCTTTGCTTAATCATGATTTTTATGGTATAAATATAATATCTGAAAAATATAAAAATATTTACATTAATGCCTGTATTTTTATTTTATTTTCATGTACATTTAACTTTTGAAGTGTATTCATGTAAAAAAATTTTTAACGTTTGTCCCTTGCATTTTAATAGTTTTTGATTGCATAGTAATAATACCGTACATTGAGTGGGAAAACAATTTAGCATATCTTCAAGCCTAAAAACATATCCTTTTCTGTATTGATTGTTTTTCTCAAAGATTTGCCAACCTTTTGTGACCACACCTCCGCTGATGATTACAAATTTAAAACCGATATAAAGGCTGATGTTCACTCGCGGTCTTGCAAGAAATACTGGAACTATTTAAAGCGGCGCAACAAAGAATCTGACAGTAAAGGTTAGTGTAGTAATATAGTATCACATGAAGACGTGATTCCAGTCCGCGCGGTTAAACTTGAAGGAGACACGTACACCTTGTAAATTCATAGGACAAAAAGATTTTGAAGACTGGGAAGAACATAAGGAACTCATAATAGAAAACTTGAAAGGTATGTGTTTTATTTTCATGCAATATCATTCTTGGATTTATTAAACAACAGAGGCAAAAGAGGGAATTAAGGAATACAAAAAAAATATTTAAGGAAACGTTGTACATTAAACGAAAATGTAAAATGAAAGATTTTTTCCTTTCCTCGGCATTCGTTCATTTCGTTTATTATTTGAAAAAATATGAATAGTTGTTTTCCAAAAAGAGTAAATGTGTCTATGATATAATTTAAACAATTAACTGGAAAACAAAATAAAATTCTCATTATTTTTATAAATATTTTTAGAAAAATGTATTTTTGTATTGATAAGAAATGTAATAACAAGTTTGGAAAAAAAATGAATATAAAAGAAAAAAATATATTGAGCATAGCCCTGTTCCATTTTACGGATCTAGTCTAATTTATAAGTACTCGTTTTTAGGAACAAATCTTTATCATTAAACTCATATTAATGTATTAAAATGTGTTTCTTTGAATGTTATATATTAATAAAAGAAGAAAAAGGGTGTAAAAATAATGTCATAAACATAAATAAAATATACACAAAATAAATAAAGAATACAACTAAATTATAATGATTTATTACAACGATCATCTACTTTGATATTTAAGTGGTTAAACAAACCGAATATATGTAATTACGTATACAGAGTTTCAAAAGATGTAATAATTAGAAAACTAATTGTTAAAATGACATGAATGATAATAAAAATAGTTTGAAGATAAAACACAGTTTTCTTGAACTTTTAAATAGGTTTAGTGTTTGTAAATTTCATATGTAAAATAAATTATTACACTGCAACGTGTATGATGCACTTTTAAAAGTGTCGGAAAGTAAGATAAGGTGACGTCATTCTTGACATTTGTAACATAACAGCATATTTGTTACCATCATTATCACTTAATTAATGACATGATTTACTGCTGATATGTTTTATCAGCAAGAATAGTTTTCGAGTTGATTTATGACGAAAGTATTATATTCTCAAAATTAATAAAAAATTAATGATTCTGTTATTATGCAAAAGTACATGGCATTTTAAAAAAGCACTGACTGAAAACAGGAAGAGTATCGCAACACTTTTTTGTGTATAAATGAGCATCATTTGATAATAAATACACACACAAAAATTCAGGTCTCTTTTGTGTATGCTTCGCCTTATCACCTAACATTTTAACAAAAATGTGTAAAATATTATATATTATAACATTAGAAATATATATCATAGCTAAATGATTTATGGTTTAAATGTTAAGATACAATTATTTTTTCTAATAAAAAACTATTTAATGTAGTTTTTTGTTTAATCTACTGCAAAAAAATATCAATTTTCATATCGAATTTCATGTAATATCTAAAAATTGTATGCAATTATCTGTTTGGAGTTACTGTGAAGATAAGGAGTTTCATATTTTGTTATATTTTGATTTATCAAATAAAAAAAATACTGTTTAACTATAATACATTATACAAATTTGTCTAATAAAATATATTTGTTTCAAAGGCAAACTAAGAAACTATATAGTTACGTTAGTTTAATTAAACTTAGACGAATCAGAAAGTCATATTTAGAATAGCTTTGCTACCTGATGCGTCTTTAAAGTGGCAATATGTTCATCTTTTATGGCCAAGTTGAGCTGAATTGACAATATATTTCAAAAGATTGACAGTTATAATGATGATCGGTAAACAGTTGATGATGAATAAAATATAAATCTGCATAAAATATATAAAGGTATGCCCCACTATTTTCTTTTAAAAAAATGAACGTTAGAGGTAAATTCCGATGGCTATTTACAGAAATTTCCTTGTATCACATTCGTGCGAAGTTTATTATAAAAAATGAAAGGAATAAGGGGAAATGTTATCTTATTTTGACTTTCATCTGCTCCTTGGATTTGGCGTAATGTCACTTTAAGAAATTCGTGTAAAAGGAAGGATTTACCGTCAGTATCATCAGATAAAGCCGTGAATAGGGAAATAACTTCTTGATGGAATTTATTGACATCCTGTTTTCCTTTTTAAAATTTCTTTCATCATTAAAATAACATTGCTAAAAAGTCCACAAGAACATAGTCCGCCATTAATTGTATTTTTTTTTCATGAACAATTTTGTTTATTAAAAGATATATTGAAATTGTTCTTAACTGTAATTAATATATGTATATTATTTCTATACAATTAGTCAAGTATTTGATATGTGTCTATAATTGCAGGGCCACTTTTTCGCTCTATATCACAAATTGGAATATTTACAAAGTATATATTAATTAGAATGTATGTAAATAAATTCCACATTTCATTAACAAAACCAATATTAGTGTAATTTTCTTGTGAACAGTTAATAATAATAATATATAATTAGATAATGGCTTCTATAAGCTTCTGCTTTCGGCCAAAATCTATAATTATTGTTATGTTGTTATTTACACATGTACAAATATTCTAAATAAAATATGTTTAAACCAAACCAATAATAATATACAGTAAGTAAGCACTATTCGAATGCGGTCAAAATATTACTGTTAAATGAAAGAAAATAATTACCAGGCTTAATCCGTGCTGTTGCTCATAGATATTTCCACAATCCTCGATTTGGTAAAAAAAAAATACTTGTATTTAACTATATAGATGTTTACATGTGATATATATTTTAAACTTAGTTTGATTGTTTGATTTAAATTGATATAAAAGCATCATTTATCTAAAACAGAAAATAAAAACAAGCATAGTTTGACAATCTTATTCTTTTCAGATATTTTTTAAAAGTTCTTTTGATTATGCATGCATTGTTTACTTTAAACACGTAACGTCAAGTGCTTATAATATCTGGCATTGAGACATGACATGACATGATAATGGCTTTAATGATATGTAAAAATGACATGCACGAAATATGACATTGAATGAGAATACAATTTACATTCGTACAAAATTGATACGTAAATTAAGTTTTAAGCAAATCTTTTACTTGCATTCCAAATGGTTAAAGCCTGATACCAGATGAAATTGATGAATTATTTTTTTCTTTTTTTATTGTCATAGACACTCCTATATGATAATTGTCAAGGGATTATCCTAATCAGTATTAGCAATCTCAATTTCAACATAATAGAATTAACGATTTCTAAGAGACAAAGTTGAAGATTAATTTCTAAATTTCAAATTCTTTAGCGCGTTTTGCAAATGTTTCGTTTTCTTTTCATTCCAGTTAGTCATGATCGATTTGCCTGATGCATGCAATCAAATGTTCCGTGCGTGCTTAGGTGTCAATCACTTTCTTGAAAATTTTAATAAAGTTTTTAATTCAAGTAAAAACATGACAATTGTTAAGAAATCTTAACCGATTTAACATGTTTTCTTAACTAGTATCTGCCTCTTTATTTCGCTCTCTATTTGTTGACAGTTTAGTATTTGAAAATCTGATATATCGCATGTGAGAGAAAAGGTGATCCCTCGAAAGCATAAATCAAGACAAAATTGCATGAAAATTGAAGACTCGGTTTGGTTGAGTCTTTACATGAGGGAACACAGTTTGATCCAATATATTTAAGTTCTTTAACTTCCGTTAATCAAATGAAAATGTGTTAACAAAGATACTTATAGTGTGTATAATCTCACTTTATAGGAACAGCAAATATAAATATTTATATGTAATTGTATATTCTTGTGTATACCAGTTAATCCTTGTCATGAAGGAATCGAAAGGGATCAGCCTTAGCCTGCAGTATACAGTAAGACAAGCCTGCATATCTATGGAGTCTGACCAGGCTCTACACTGTCGGATAATTTACTTTTAAATTTTATTCTTAATTGATTTCCTCAAAATTGAACTGAGAAATTTGGCTATTTCATTATAGAAATTCAGCAAGATATGGGTTAAGTGCATCAGTTCTTATTGATAAGCTATAGCCTAGGGTTTCTTGGAAATGATTATGTGAAAATGATAAAATGCCATCTTAAGTTAAGATGTGTAAAATGCCAAGTGTCATGAGATGATGACTGAAACACAACTTTTACATTTACAGAAAGCGATTTGTCTGTGTCACGTGCGGCTTAAATGGTTTGTTAAGGAGTGTTTTCAAATCCATAAACTTACGGTATTTGTTCATCTGTAAGAATTAAATGATAACATGCATTTATCTATGAACACTTCTTTTGATACAATTTAACACGCCGTGCGTTGCTGACAAATATATTTACAAATATATTTATGTCTTGCTGACAAATATATTTATGTCTAAATTGACACTGATATACCTTGATATTCTATTAATGAATGTTTTATACTGTTTTAGAATTTGTAAAGACGCATCGGTCACAACAATGTCCCAATGACATATGTTAACATTGTAGCTATAAACGTGGTGTTTGTATCTTCATGTGTTTGATCATGTTGTTTCAAGACTTATTTAATAATCAAATACCTTTATTTGTTTAGCATTTCAATATGACAAAGAGAGCGGTTGAAATTGAAAATATTAAATCTTATTATACACTATATAATATTCATCACAAAATATAAATGTACGTCTTTTTAATGTTTGTATTACCTGAAAACTATTATACATACCTTTAACTAGTAAGTCGAAGTATAATTATTATTATTAAAAATAATAAAAAAAATAATAAAAAAAACAACATTTTAAGTGTTCTTTGGGTATTAGAATATGATATTATGATATTGATCATTTGCATTTAAACCCATACTATCTTTCATCAGTCTGAAAGAAGCGATGTTATATTCAACAATTGCCAAGATACAAAAAAAGTATTTTAGTAATCTCATTTGTACGTGGAATCTACGGAGAATTCCAGGAAAATTGCGGTTTTGTCAAATGTCTCGCCGGTACAAAACATGTAGCATATATCCTCTATGTAGAGTTGATGCATTTATTCAATATGGTGCAAAAACCCTACTTTCCTATGAAGAGGTATACAGTATTTCTTTCATATCAGGATTACTTAAGAAAAGAGCGTTATTTAGTATAGCAAACAG